TCCAAGTGAAGGGCGAAAGAAAGGTACCCATGCTTAATTGTTCACAAACATCGCCACCTGCTCATTGTCCATATGCCGGCATCTTGTGAGGCCGGCTTGCTGGTAATCCGCGGTGCGATTTGAGTCGGCGAGAACGCTACTTTTAACAAGGGTATGGTGACACAGAGGAACTCCACACCGGCATACAAGTATCAGACAGCCCATGCTGACCTTCTCACACTCCAAGCTTGGCGTTATACGCGTGGTATCGTCAGTATGATGACTAGCTTTAAAGTGGTTGAGACAGGCTTGTGTTTATTCGGGACCATCACGCATTCTGGAAGGGGCACTGAATCTATGCAATCGGTCTCTGCGATCTGAAGATTTGCACTTTTCTCGAAACAGAAACGGGTAACATGTCGGGCAAGATGTGAAGTGGCTCTTATTCTCAACAAGGCTGCGTTGGGTTCGGAAGTGGCTCTGGCTTTGGCTTCTCTGATGAGCAAGCTATATGCGATCCATCGAGCGGAATGATGTTCACCGGTATATCACAATCTCGACGGAACTAGTTTGTTTCCATGGGACGTGCGGGCTGTTCGTCATCGAGAAAGCAAAAGGGAGTGCTTGCAAATTCGCACCAAGGCATCATCGGGGGAGATAATGAAGAAAAAGCAGCATCTTCATGTAGGAACGTCTATCCTGTAGACGCCCAGGGGATCTGATTAGCTTAGACCATGTCTGACCATTGCCTATCCGTGGTTACAACAAGTGGGTGACAAGAGGTCACGCGCGAGTCGTTGATCCCGGAAGTCTTTTCCTAACACTACCCTTACTATGCAACTCGAACATGATTCGGTGAATCAGAAGGAAAACACACATACTGACCAAAAGGCAAATAAGGTGGGTGGGATCATGCTTTTAAGCCATAGATCCGTTTTGATGTGCCGGGAGGTTAGCAAGGCCTCCCGAAAATTGGTGGCGGAGACGAAAAACAAGTCATGAGATTGGCTGGCAGTTTTCTCCGAGGCCCATATAGCCCCAACTAATCACCGGTTGAAGTCACCGATCCGTCTTTTCTCATTGTCTCCCTCCAGTGCTGCCGAGGGTATTCCAGACTACTGGCCCTATTCTAACCTTTTGCCCGTCCTTTCTGGTAAGGGGTTCTGCGGACGCTTAGAGTGGTATGCAGGGTGAGTTGGCCGTCAAATGGAAACAAATCGTTGAGCACCCGCGTCTGTTCAATTGGATGGACCACAGGCAATGGCCGTATTTTTAGCCACCTGGACAGAAAAGAGACCCAACTGGTTCTTATCCCCGTGCTGAGTTCTCGGGGGCTTATGGTGCTTCAGAGGTGTCGAGCAAATCACTTAGATGATGCTGTGGCGTGATTCAATCTGAAATATTTCTTTTTCCCTTCCACATTTTGGTTTCTTCTCCTTTGGGTTATATTTCCCTACCTTTATACCCATAGAGCCTTAGGAGTGGAGAACGATTTTATCCTTGTCAACCACCTTGTGATACCCCTGGGGCGTATAAGATTCGCTTGTGTCCGCCAGCGACGTCTGGACGCCAGACGTACTGACTTAACTGCAGCCACGACTCTCGCTTAAACACGTCCGCCAACCAACCCTCACTCCGTGCACCACTGTCTCGCTTCAAATTAAAGGCCATATCTTATCACCTTCTTTTGAGTTTGATTCTGTATTCGAGCTTGCCTGCCGAGCGAGCAGTTAGTGATTTCCAGTTGAACAAGCAACCACGACTGCGAACCGCACGGCATGATGAACAGTCAGAATATTCAAAACTCGGAGCAGAGGTAATCGGCTTGCAGTATAGAGACTGTGATCGCACATACTTATGTGGTTAACCTCATATCGCAGTTCCAACAATCGAAGTTCCAATAACGAAAGCTCGAACAACCAAAGCTCGAACAATCTCAGCTCGAATAATTTCAGCTCGAACAACCACAGCTCAAACAACCAAAGCAGTGATAGTTACCAAGCCTCTAGTTACGAGACTCCGAACACAGATCCCCAACTCCAGACTAGCTTTGCCGAGGATTCGGATTACTACAGAAACTTTCTCGAACAACTTCTGGATTTGGTTTGCAACGAGGATCAAGAGACTGTAGCCCGATTAGTCTCTATCATCCGTTCTGGTGCTTCCCAACGAGAGATCCTCGCGGTGATCTCTCAAATGCAAAATGGAAACAACCACCTCGGGGGGAATGGTGGTGTCATGGAATCCTAATGGTCAATATAATCATGGTGAAAGTACTCTACGCCTTGCTCATCTCTGCCCTCACCTTCTTGTAACGTCGTCGTCTTGGCCGTTGGGAATGAAAGGCTGCCTTAGATGAATACATGGTGGTAAGGTGCTGAAGTCAACCTCCGTACAGCATCATGCACATAAATCTGAGGTGGATATGCCGTTTAGTTGACTTGTTTGCTTCTCACTCCCTAGTCCCGTATTAGGCATACAGTCGGAGGTGGAGATTGACCCAAATACTTTCCCATTTCCGGATTCAGCTGACCGTTTACCATGTTAAATTGGTAGTTTCCACATTACTTTGCACATTTTTTCACCATGTATAGTAATCAGCCTGAAGTTGCTTCATTGCATTGAAATTATATGCCTGAACACGGATGGTTCCATCGTCGCGGCTCTCTGCCATGACTGGTCGTCTCGTGGGTGCATGACGCAGGCATCGGTGGATATACTAAGTTGACGTAGCCGCAGCGTGCCAGCTACGAAGAGCGATTAACCCCACTCAGAAAATGGTGTATATCTGCTGCCGAGTATCATATCCGAGTCAGATATGAGAGATTTTCTGCCAAGCCAGGAAGAAGTCCTCCATAGACTATAAAGAGCTAAGCAGGCGGGTTATGGGTTTGCTTTCGAAGGTCCCTTGGAATTCAGTTTCGGCACGAAACTCCGGATCTCGTTTGGCCTATCGTTCAAAAGTCGGGTGGCGAGTTGGACGACTGGTCATAAAAAGGCATGTTCAAATGATGACGGGTGTTATTATGATATCAACTTATCATTAAACGTAAGGGCACGATGTAGTTGTAGCAGTAACCTTAGGTGGCTAGAGGGATGATGATCGTCACTATCGTCAACCCGCTGTTGTAGTTAGTAATTACGTAGTCTGGACGAGGTTTGTTGCTGGAATGGAAGTGGCGCCACACCCGTATGAGGCTGATGGCTAGAGGAATATCAAAACCATATCTAGTAGTAGGCCCTTACTCTTCCACATTTACTTGCATCTATTCTTTTCCTTCTTGCCTTCTGTCCGACATGACAAGCAAGAATCACTATAGTCTAGTATTGGACGCTTCTGTAGTCTTTATCACTTGGGTTTATAGGGTCACAAGTTTTGATCCGTGCTTTATCCTGGAAGAGATGTAGGTACTCATCCTAATACCGCTACAATGGCGAATATCATGTTCGTACAGTTGGTGCGAGCCATATAAGAGTGTATTAAAGCCATTTATATGAGAAGATATTTCGCTCCTACGGCTTTCGAAAACAAATAACGAATATATCAACACGATTTTGCCTCTTGAGAGAGTATGTGACTGGCCGGGACTTCAGGTTCCTCTCAGTCATAGGCTGAAACGGAATTGAGGATTGTTACTACTACCCGGATTAACTAAGACGTCTTTATCCAGTTATACTCTTATCTTATGTTTTCCCTGGGCCTTCTTGTGATTCTCGATTAACAGACAGGCGGCGAAAATACTACCCATAATCCCATAAAACACCACCATAGCTAATAATACCTTACCTCTAACAGTATATAGAGGTACGTCATCCCTGCTGAAGATGTTACTCGTTAGAGTGCCACTAATGTTTCTAAATCTAGCCTGGGTGGCAAGATCAGCAGCGCACTAATAATACCCACTGAGGTTGTTCGTCATCCACACAATCAACAACGGGTTGAACAATATAGCATCCTGTGGTCACGAAGAACATTGCCATGTAATGGAAATGCTTATTCAACCACCCCGGATAGAGAGCCCTGCACGATACTATGGTGTATTATATGCTTGCAAGGACGACACCGAATATCGCAAAGGTGTAGCGATGTCACCGGAATCTGTAAGGAAAGATACCACTATAGCTTAGCGAATTCACAATGGAGGGCACGAATAGGACTGTTGCGTGCCCAGAAACTGAGGTAATACCCAGATAGATAAGACTGCCCACATAGATTTTCCAATCAAACATAATTCGTCTCCAAGCAGCGGCGGCAAGTAGGTCCATTCTTCCTCCTTCACCGAGACCACAAGTGTTAAGTTCTTCTAGAAGTTTTTTTCTTTACAGTACTCAGAAACTTCGCCTGTCTAGGCCTACTAAGGTTCTCGCTTCTCTTCAATAGATTGAACAAAATTTGGGCCTATGGGGTTTCGCGAGAGTAAAGCCAGTTGGTGCCTGCTCGGGGCCCAAAAAAAAAAGATCAGATGGAGTATGCTCGGTGAATCGGCGGCCGCTCTGGAGGATATAGTACGCTGCTGGTCAGGATCAGGGACAGAGGAAGGGGCGAATTGCGTTGGCTCGGACGAAGAGTGAGACAGGGTGAATGATGTAAGTGATTGTTCATGTTGAGGAAGGGAAAGGATGGGAGATTTAGATTGATGGGATTGAGAGCTATAAGGGTCGAGTAGTTGTAATGCGTGTAGTATGGTAGAGTAATTAATGTGATGGCCAGTGAATTATCGGAATTATGATAGTCTAGTTTTTACCATCTCCTGGCACCGCTCGGTTGTAATTATATAAATCAACTGCTGGTGATGTTTGTCCTCATCGAACTATTGCTCTTGGAATTTTTGGTACGGCCTTTACATCGCATCATAAGATTTCTTACCTAGGAACTACTGGATATCGAGTAAGTAGAGGAACTTCGGTCTGCATTGAGACGTTGGCATATCTATGGGAGTCGTCTAATATATAGAATATTTTAAGGCGTGCAACGGCCAGTGAAGCGAGGATACAAGCTGCAATCCCTGACAGTATAACGGGCGCACAACCAGGCGAGGAATCGCTCGAGACCGAGGCCATATCCACCGTGAGGGGAGGTACCGTACCTTTAGCGAAGAAGTTAGTATTTGTTATGTGAGGTAATAACTCGTGGAAGGGAACATACTTGCGCTGATCAGTGTACCAGTAGTAGGGGGAGGGGTCCATGCCCTCATGTTTATAGGCACTCATGAGCTCATCCCAGTCGTCCATTCTCATACTGCCACCGACAATCTCACCGACACCGGGCATGAGGACGTCGACACTCTCGGTGACACGGCGGTCTTCGGGGTCCTTCTTCATGTAGAAGGCCTTGATTTCAGCGGGGAAGTGGGTGAGGAAGATAGGCTGGTTGATGATGTCGGTCATCTTGCGCTCGGCGGCCTCGGCGATGTCATCGCCGAACTGGTGGGGCTTGCCTTCTTCGTTGGGGATTTCATGTTCGATGAGCCATTGGATGGCATCGGAGTACTTCATGCGGCGGAAGGGACGGCTGGGGGGCTTGAAGTCGGGGTTGAGTTGCTTGATATGGGCTGCGGCCTCAGGTTCGGCTAGGATCAGTTCAATGACACGGCAGATCATAGCTTCTAAGTGGTCCAGGAGATCGGTGAAAGTGATGAAGTCAAGCTCGGCTTCGATGTGAGTATACTCTGACAAGTGCCGACGAGTAAGGGACTTCTCGGCGCGGAATGAAGGGCAAACACAGAAGACATCACCCAAGGATGGGAGACAGGTTTCCAGGTACAGTTGGGAAGACTGAGTGAGGTAGGCGTTCTCGCCGTAGTAGTCGAACTTAAATAGGGTACTACCACCCTCCACCTGCGTTTGCACCATTGCGGGTGGGGTCACTTCCAGCATGCGGCTCTCCTCGAAAGATTTGCGGAATGCCCGAAGAGCTGCTGCTCGCACCTTCATGACAGCGGAAGCAGTCTCGCCACGAAGGACAAGATGGCGGTTGTCGTAGAGGGTCTGCGGGTCCGCATCAGGGGCGACTCGTGTGGTAATGGCCTCCTTGTCACCGGCGGCACGGCCAATGATAGTGAAGAAGTCTGCGTGCAGTTCACGGTTGTTGGGAGCATGCTGCTTAGGTGGGACGGCACGCATTTCACCATGGATAGACATGGAGGTTCCGAGGGTAAGAGTCATGATATCGTAGGTCTTGACCATGTCTCCCGTCAGGATGCATTGGAGGTAGCCGTAGCCATCTGCCAAGGTAAGGAAAACGACATCCTTCTGGGCACGAAGGCGATGAACTCTGCCCAGCACGCGAACACGGGTCCCAGGGCCCTCCGACTCCGGACTTCCAAGCTTGACAACGGCTGGGTCAGTCACATCAAGTCGGATTCTGACCGGCTTAGGGAGTGAGGAGTCCTCCGTAATAATGATCTTCTTCGCTTCTTCCAGGACGAGGCGGCGCTTCTCTGCCTCCTGCTTCTCACGAATGGCCAATTCCTGTTCTTTTGCGGCCTTCTTCTTCCGTTGCTCATAGAGGTTGGTGGCCTTCTTCATCGCCGACTTGGTGGCCGACTTCCACTCCAGCTTGTCGACATCTTTATCAGCGGGCTCGGTTTGGGACTTGCGTGTCAAATATTGAAAACCCTCGCTAGGAGCGTGCTGCAAGAAAGCGTGCACAAGCGTCTTGTAGGGAGCGGATTCGGATCCGGTCGCGGTAGAGTCGTCCCTACCGACGTCTTCGTCAATGTAGATGGTAGTCATGGTCACTGGCTGTCTACCTGACTCGCTGTCCAAGGATTGAGTGTGGGTGAGCGCCGTACTGCGGGGAGAATATCAAATTAGTTTTTATTTTGGGCATGTGAGTCACACCATAGATAAGGTCCACCATAATAGGAAGCAGAAAACAAATTCGGGAGAAGAATAAAAGACTCACAGGTGTCAATTACTCAGTCCAGCCAATGAAGACTATGTAACAATTACCCCAAAGTGAGAAAGTGAAGACGCCGAGTCGCACAGTCCTTGAGTAAAATCGCCTGGAGGGGTAAATTTCTGGATCCAATCTGAATGCGACCGGCCGCGGGAAAGTCTCCCCCACGTGTGCCTGAGGCATTAATAAGGCCTAATCTGTCAGGCTTCTGATGATACATCAAGAACAAACAACTGTTGTTCAGCTTGATTTGCATTAAGTTATCTACATGACTCGTACTAATCATGACTGGTCTACAAAGCACCACCCAGAAGAGATATCCGTGTATCTAGCCAAATCGTACTCAAATGCATCATACACAATCTCCCCTTACCAGTTCAAAATACATAACAGGGTAACACAAGTTGTACTCCCATGAAACACCGTTGGATGTCCGTCAAGAATTGACAAAAGGCATCTCCATACTCATTAAGACGAGATAAACTTCTATTTGCCACTCTATCTTTTTATCCAAGATATGAGCTATTGACGACAAGTGATCTAATTCCATAAGCGGTTAGTAAGGCTAGATATGTAAAGTTAGGCCCGAACAACAAATTACCATCCGGGGAAATGCGGACCGCGGTAAATCTTCCTTAAACGATTGCTTGATGGATTGAAAACGCCGGACACATGATGAAACGGACTAGATAGATCGAAACTCAGACGTTGAATGCAGATCAATAGTCCATTGTCTCCTTAATATCATGTGGTATCAAGATATGGGATCCACAAGAGTCACCACAAAGTAGTAAGTACGCAATGAAGCACAAGGGATGTGGGTGCCAAGTCGCAATGGTTTCTGCAGGCGAGGCGGATCATTAGTTCTTCCATGTGGCAAGAGCCTCCCTTTCTTCATTCAGAAAACCCCACTCAATCATCCAGATCCGTGATGGATGGAGATATGGGAGATGTTTCTACGTACAGGACTACGGATTTCTCAGTCCGTTCTCCCTGATATTCTAACTGAATCAGCAAAGATGCACGACAATATTTCATTTAAGGAATCGATTGGACAGACACTACTCCGTATACAATCCAACGTCCGGACCACATGTGGCTGATACCACCATCGTCCTGCTAGCCATCTGAGTGACCTTTTTCTCTTCTTTTAGGCTGTGTCAGCCACAGCCTTGTGACAAGCGCACGGATAGCCTTGAGGGATATTCGACGAAACAACAAAGACGTTTCGCTTGAACACGATGATCCGATATTATTGGCAGCTTATGGTCTGGCTAACAGAATGACATCCCTACCTTGGGGGGATGGAGATTCTGGTGTTCCCCATCGGCTCTGGGGACGCTTTACTCAACCAGTCAGGTACGAATGTCAATCTTCACTCCACAGGGACATGAATTTCTATTATTATTCCAGCCTCTTGTCTGATGTTTGGTTCACCGTTCACTTTCCCCCTTTTACCCCTTCATCCACTCTTCAGCATTTCGCTAAGTCTTATTTTTGGTTAATGCTGGTCTTACTTGAGATAATATTGAATCTTACTTTTCTTCTCTACATTCGTTACTACACTAGTAATTTGCAGTGACTATCTTTTTTCTTGGTTTCATTTAATTCCCTTCTCATTGACTTGAATTTTTTTTTTGATTGAATTTTTGTTCTTTCCTGTCGTGGGTAATATTTACTTTGCCAGGTATACGGTGCATGCTATATACACCTTGGGGAGAAGAGGGATAGAAAGGGCTAAAAAAAAGAAACGAAAAAGAAACACATAAAAGAAAAAGAGAGAGCGCGAGAGCGAGAAAGTGTGCGCTGTCACTCATATAGTCTCTTATCAAGCTCATCTCACGCTACAAACAGCCCCTTTTTTCGGGGGCCCGTAGTTTTCCCTCTCCTCCACTGTCTTTTCTCTCCTCCGCCTCTGCGAGACTATTATCAATTATTATTTTCTCTCATTCATTTCTCTTTGTCAGTTCCACTTTTCCCTTTTCAGCTTTCTGAGTGGATGTCCCCCATCGGTCCTTTTTTGGCCTTTCCCTTTGTCAACAACAATTCTTGGGTTCTGCAATTGGGGGTTCATATTCTTTCAATTAACTAGACCATATTCTTAATTACCCATCTTCTGTGTTTTTCTATTTCCCTTTTGACTTGCTTGATCAATTTCTCTTTTAATTTCGATTGACTACTTACTTATCGAGTATTATTATTGTTTTTTATTATCATATTCTTCTTCTTTTTTTTTTTTTAATTTTTTTTCTCGTCTCAAATCTTCAATTGACAAGTTGGTCTTGTTTACGGGGATTGTTCACCCGCAGCAGCCCCTAAAACACCAACTAAGAGGTTTGTCACCGTTCCACCGAACATTGTCTAATGCACATTCCAATTGACCGCTGGACCTCTTTCTAGACACGTCTCAATTGGCCTATCCTTATCCAGGCTTCTTTATTGTTATTCTTTCTTCGTCCTCCTTTTCGTTCGACTTCACTTTGCCATCTTTTCGGCTGCTATTTTCCTTCATTCATTCCCTTCCTCCTTTCTCCTTTCGGGGGTGATCTTCACGCCGGTTGGCTTTTCGCTCTTCCGACCACGTCTTTGTAACTCGCGCTTCCCTTTCCCCCCCTGGCCGGTGATATCGATCATTTCACATTAGCCCCAATTTACTTCGTCCCCTCTTCCTTAGCTAGGGGGCTCTCGCGTCCGGACCGTTCGTGTTCCTCGCCATGCAAACCTCCGATGCCTCAAGCATTCCGAGTCGTTTGATCCCTTCCAAGTTTTCCCACCTCAACGCAGACGATACCGGTTTCTCCCACGGAGCGTACAACTCCAATAGCCTCCCTCTGCAGGGTCTGACGGATCGAAACGCACGTCGAGCTAATATCCCTGCCATCAATACCGCCGCCAGTCAAAACAACACCGACACTATGGCAGCCTCGGGCACCGCGTTCGACATGAACTTCACTCCTCTGTTGCCGTCTCAACTACTGCTCGGAAGCCCCTTCCAACCGGGAACCCCTTCGGCCTTTGCCTCGCCGCAGTTCACCAACTTCGGTGGTTTCTCTCAGGCCAATGCGTCGGCGCACGCGCAAAACCACCAGAATCAGCTGGGAAGCCCAACACAGGCCTCACAGAATGCCAGTCTGTACTCGGGTATGATGTCTGCGGATAGTATGGGAAACTCCCAGTTGCTGGGGGGCCCTCAATCACCAGTTGGTGGTATGGGTGGCTTGGGTAATGCGGCGTACGGAAGTCCCGCCGCGTCGGTAACTCCGGGCCTCCTCTCAGGTACAAGTCGAACCGTGTATTTGGGCAATATTCCGGCGGAAACTTCTGCCGAAGAAATCTTAAATCATGTCCGTAGCGGTCAGATTGAATCGGTACGCTTGCTCCCTGACAAGAATTGTGCTTTCATCTCCTTCCTGGACAGCAACTCGGCAACGCACTTCCACTCGGATGCTATCTTGAAAAAGCTCGCAATCAAAGGCAATGACATCAAGGTTGGCTGGGGCAAACCCTCGCAGGTACCCACTTCAGTGGCCCTGGCGGTGCAACAATCGGGGGCGTCACGGAACGTGTACCTAGGCAACTTGCCAGAGGAGATGACAGAAGATGAGTTACGCGAAGAGCTTGGGAAGTTTGGTCCGATTGATACCGTGAAAATTGTGAAGGAAAAGGCAATTGGCTTTGTACATTTCCTGTCAATCAGCAACGCGATGAAAGCCGTCTCTCAATTGCCCCAAGAGGCTAAATGGCAAGCACCTAGGCGTGTCTTCTACGGTAAAGATCGGTGTGCTTATGTCTCGAAAACACAACAACAGAATGCAGCTCAGTTCCTGGGCATCGCACCAGGATACGCACACATTCTGAACTCAGCAGATCGGGACCTAATCACGAACGCACTCGCCCAACAGTCCGTTGCAGCTGCAGCCGTCGCTACATCCGCTGGTGGCGTCAACAATCTGGGTAACCGGACGATCTATCTGGGTAACATCCATCCAGAAACTACCATTGAAGAGATCTGTAACGTAGTTCGCGGTGGCCTTCTGCATCATATCCGTTACATCCCCGATAAGCATATCTGCTTTGTTACCTTCATTGACCCAACCTCGGCCGCCTCCTTCTATGCCTTGAGTAACCTCCAGGGTCTAATGATTCACAACCGTCGCTTGAAGATCGGCTGGGGCAAGCACTCTGGTCCCCTACCCCCAGCTATTGCCCTGGCTGTAAGCGGCGGTGCCTCGCGAAACGTCTATGTTGGCAACCTCGATGAGTCTTGGTCGGAGGAACGTCTTCGCCAAGACTTCTCCGAATACGGAGAGATCGAGCTGGTGAACACATTGCGCGAGAAAAGCTGTGCTTTCGTGAACTTTACCAATATTGCCAATGCCATCAAGGCAATTGAGGGGATGCGGAACAGGGAGGAGTACAAGCGGTTCAAGATCAACTTTGGCAAGGATCGTTGTGGCAACCCACCTCGCCAGACGGGTAACGGTGGACAGCAAAATCGCAACGGTGGACTGGAAGGCCCGCAGTCGCCCTCACCGGCACTCAATGGCTTCCAGCAGAACTTGAGCCATTCTGGTTCAGGGTCCAGCCCAACCCGTTCAGCCCTCTCTCCAGCCCCAGGCTCGACAGGTTCTCAGAATGGCCAGCAGGGCCGGCACCCGCTGCAGACAGTTACATCGCCGTCTGGGATGTTGAACGTGGGGGCCAACAACCCGCTAACCATGTATCTCAACCAAATGTCCGCCCAGCAAGCTCAAGAACAAGAGAACCGCTTGAACGATTCTATCTCCCTCGCTGCTCTTCAGTCCCAGTCCCAACCGGCACCTCAGCAACAGCCACTCTACAACGGTACAACTACAAGCGAGCTCACTAACGGAAGCATCGAAGCGCCGCTGCATCAACACAAGCCGTCTACCAACGGCTTTTTGAACGTCACCAATGGCTCTAGCGGCCCTGGACATCACGCTACTGCTAGCACCAGCGGCTTAAGCGTGCCACGCGCGCAGCACTCTCGTGCTGTCAGCTTGCCGTCGTTCTCTCAAGAACCATTCGGTCCTATTTCGGGGCAGGCTGGACATAGCCGTGCAGGTGTAGCTCACCAACCGCAGAGTAGCTTCTCCAGCTTTACATCTGCCTTGGGCGGTCTCAACCATGCCGGTTTTGGACTGGCCATCCAGAACGAAAATTCGCTACCCGGCTGGGCTGAGGAAGAGATCGGAGCCAAATAATTTCATCTTAATATTTTGAAAGAATTTCCTCTTCCATTCTTGTGGGTGCATCATCTTATTAACTTTTAAAACCTTTTACTTCACGTTTTCTATTCATCATGTTCATCTATTGTTTTGAAAACACCACCCGTTGATTACTTTCTTTGTATTGGTTTGCTCGACAGTATTTCTCTCTTTCCTCTTTATTATTTTTTTTATTATTATTGTGCAAATTTCGTTCTCAGCCAACCCATCTTACACCCTTTAATTATATTTTTTATACCATCCTTGTATTGCTAGCTGGGTATGATCCCCTTTCCCCTTCCATTCTTCTTTTGGTTGTTTCCATTTCGATTTCCAGTTGGCTACGAAGGCGGGTGAGATCTCGGCTATACCCTAGACTGGTTGGCTCTGGTCTGTTCTTTGATGTTTATTCTGATCAGTTGCATATGCGATGCCATTTTGACGGAATTAATCCAGAGCAAACAGCTCCTTTTGCATATTGGATAACGGACAGGGGTTATATAGCTGTGCGGAGGTAATAGGTTCGGGATGGCGATGGCAGTAGCCATCAAGAAATATAGCATAAGAGAAGAAATATGAAAAGCAATGATCTACACTTGTCATCACCGTGTTCATGGGTATCTGTATGTTGGCAAATGGTTGAAAGTTGTCCATCCGAATTGAGTAAAGAGTCAACAATAGATAGATCACGTGACCTTATACATGGTCGGGGTGGCACGCTAAGCCCCTTCTAGCCCAACCATGGAACTTGAAGAAATGTTGGAGATCATCCCAAACTGTCGTTGTCGCCATTTCTCCTTCGCCATCAATCCTAATCTATACCAAGTAAAGCTCAGTTTCCTATAAACTCCAAAATGTCTTTGCCTCCGGAACAGATTAGTATCAAACGCCGTCGAGAGGAGGAACCAGTGGACACGTTATGTAAGAAGCTTCCCTCATCTTTGCTAGCTATCAAGCCTCTACCGATCAAACTAAGCCCCAGTCCCCCGCTCTGTATATCCGCATAGAAATGCCGCGTTTTTTTTAGTAGCCAGCAAAAGCTAATAGGAAAATACAGATATTCAGTCTGATCTACATCAGACGAAACGCCGCTTCACAGACTTCGTGTTCCAGCGAGTCCAGGTCAGTGCCAAGGATCTGAAAGCCGGCTCTCCGAGTGCTTCACCCATATCAGCGGCGCAGAGGTCAATTCTCACTCCGCGCTCTGTGAGCACATCTCTATCCTCGAATGCGCCAAACCGCGCTACCGGAGGGGTTCCCTTGGTCAGAGCCACATCCCCCGGGGCAGAACTTCGCGAAGAAAAACGTCTCGCGGCCCTTCGGAAGGAAGCCGAGGAGAAGGTGAAGAGGGCTTTGGATTCTTCGCCGGGACTCGCTCAACGGGACGCCCACAATGAAAGCCCAAGTCGAGATTCCGTTGTTGAAGCCCCCGCGGCTGGTGTGTCATCCACCTCAAGTGCGCGAGGCAGTTCGGCATCTTCTCCATCACGGGCGCAGTCGCTTCGACGGTTCCAAATTTCGAGATCAAGTACGCCGATGAGTCCCCTCCGAAGCAGCGGTGGAGGAGTACAAAAGCGTAAAGCAGACGGGGTTGCAGTGCTCGTGGAGAAGCTTCGGCGCAAACCGCATTCACGGCAGGCGTCTTTGGTGGCTGAGGCGGCCGTGCGAGCAGATGATGTTGGCTCTCGTGACAGTTCCGATGTGGCTGATGAACAGCCTGTTCGTCTACGGAAGAGACCAGTGGTGAACCAGGCCGAAAGAAAATGGAGGGAGGAGCGTAAGGGGGCGATCTTGGCTGCCAAAAAGCATATCTCGCAGGTGCTCGAACAAGGGGCCCAAGCACGCCACAGCAACTGGGAAGATGAGTCAGAGAGGCTGGCTCGGGATTTCGAGCAAATTGCGTTGGAGCTTGAAGGGGAAATGGAATTGGAAACAGAGGTGTCGCCCGTGGAGACGAAACATAATCGTCAATCTGTTGCGGAGCGGACTCCCTCGGTGATGCCCAAACCTCCATTGAAATACCCTCCTCGTACACCCAACAAACTTCGAGCCGCGTGGTCTGCAGAACGCACGCAAGGGGCGGCGAATCCTGAAGGATCCGTCAAGCCTGCCACACCAGCACCGCACCATTTACCCTCCGCTGCAGGGCAGGAGGATGATAGTGACGGGGAGTATGTCTACGATACATACATCAGGCGTCCTCTGCCGGATGGAGGGCAGCTTACGAACCCACTAGCAGATTTGGAACTGAACCAGGATGAGTGGTTCCGTCTAAAGGGTATCGATACGAGTCGTCAGGACATTGGTGTGATCGTCATCACACCGGAGGACGAAGAATACTGGGAGCATTTTGCAGAGGAGGATGACGATGAAGATCAGTGGGACAGTGAAGACGGCGATTCAAATGGTAAGCGAGTCCGTCGCATAGATTCGACCTAAGATCTACGCTTCCCAAAAACAAAGGCAAGGCAAGGAGAAATCTAACTAACAATTACTATAGCTGAGAATAATCCTGCGAATGACTATCCAGACGAAGAACTCTCCTGGGATGACGAAGAGGACGATCCCGGAGCCGTCTACAGCAAGTATCGACGCCACCAGTCGGATGACGAAGAGTTCAACTTCGACGATTCATCCAGTGAGCGCTATGGGTATGGCTACGGATACGGACATGGACAACGGACGCACGTGGATTCTGATGACGAGAGCTGGTGATGGGCACAACGACGGGTGGCTGCATTGATTATTCTATTGGATCTGGGTGCTTCTTCTGCACGGTACTTTGGTAAAGAGAAACCTTCGGCAGGGGTGGGAGGCAACACACCATCAGACAACGTTTCCCTTGTCCTCCTGTCCATTTTCCTTCACTCACCGCAATTTCTGCAGATGCAGACGAGGATATATAGATGATGAGGCCGAGTCTGATTCTGCAGAGTAACCTTCATTTCTGCATGTGGACTTCATCACACAGCATGTGCAGTACAGTTCGTATGATTATTGCACCCTTCATGTCTCGGACGGGGGATCAACCCTGGTCCAGGCGTGCATTAAATGCAACATCGTAGGGGTACCGGTACAAAGTACGAAATGAAATGAGGTCCAGATGGTCTTCAACTAGCCATGCTATATGTTCTCTCTCACTCTAGATGAAACTTCAATCCAAATCTAGATATCTACGCGATCTATGGAAAAAAGGTCAGGATATCCGAATCGGAACCTCCACAGTAGATCATTTCCTTCACGAACAAGAAAAAGTAAAAATATAAGAAAAAAAAAAAAAGAAAAGAAAAGAAAAGGTAATCCACACGAGGAGACACCAACCCAATCTACACACTAAGAAACGTAGACCATCGACTAAGCCAACAAAAAGCCCCATCTGCAGTCTCACCATGCAGACGGGGAAAGGTAAAACAAAACTAAATGCCAAGTGAGGGAGGGATATCCCTACCCAACTTAACCCTACAATCTCCGCATCCCTATAAGTCCAGCATACCAAGCATCACATTCCAATGAACGTGATTTAGGTACCCAATATATCCATGTCGATGTGCAAAAGTGGAGCATTTTTTTTCCATCACGGATGCATAGAAGGGCGATTTCTCGATTCGGCAGGAGGGGCGACTTACCTACACTTGGTCTGCATGGTTAGAGACGTGTTGTCAGCGACCGAGTACTCTGTAGATCCTGACTCTGCGCATGTATTCCAAATGATTTGAATGGACGGGTGGCCTCGTCAAAATGTATATTGAGTATTATGCAGCAGCGGTCGCTGCAGAATATGGATGTATAGTACATACGTTACAGGTAGAGTTGAGATAAAGTAGGGTTTCGGTTTGGGTTTCGTCAATGGACAACACAACCTTTGCGATAAGCTATGTAGTGCAAAGATATTGTCATGAATATTTCACGTTTTTTATTTTTCGTTTTTCACTTTTTATTTTCCCCTTGAGTATTTGTTACAGGCAGGGAACAGCCAAGCAGGGAACAAATAGTCTCCTCCTTGCTCAGTTGTGCCTCTTCGCGGGTTGTAAGATGATATCATGTGTTACCTGTGATCCCTGGGAATGAGAGATGTAGGGGTTTCGAACTAGAGGTTCGGCTTCGCCTATTCGCTTGCTTGCTGGCATACTTGTCCTATGATATGATATTATTGTTTCCTGCCTTTGTTATTCTGCTGGGTTTTTGACGTTGTGCTGCATACCTATTGGTGGTGTTTTCTGTGTGTCATGCACTGTACTGTATGCTATAATGTTCGGTATTGATGCCCTGTATGGTATTGTATGGTACGCTCTGACTACGTCCGTGCTATCGTGATGAATTGAAGGAACTATGTGTCTTCTCGGTTCAAAGAAGTAAATTCGGTCGAGATGAATAATCTTATTCCCTCCAATACAAATGACAGTCTCCATGGATTTCCTTTCAATCCAGAATAAAAATAATAATGATTTGATGTATGCATGCTAAAATCCAGACGGCCTCCCAGTGAGAATCATAAAGCGATGTAAAATGAGAGAAAAGAACGCAGTAACGTCTCAGAATGATAGCCTTGTCGGTAAAAGAACATAAGGTTGGAAGAAGTAAATAAAATAGAAGAGAAACTTCAAAGGTATCTTGACGGCCGTAAAGAGGGGGATTTTTCAAAGGTGGGAGGAGGATCTGTAGAGTCGAGGAATGAAGGAGGTAGGAATTTTTGAGGGAAAGAAGAGGAGGAAATTTAATGTGATATGCGTCGACTGAGGACTTGTTCTTTAGTTTCTCGCATCCAAGGATACCAAGCTCCCATCCATTCCACAACGCCGAATCGTGGTGCGGCCGAGTCAACTAGCCCTGACCCCTCTCGTAGGAACTCGCCGTCGCGCATGCGTCTCTGCTCTCGCAACGTTGGGCACTTCTTCTCCTTGATGAATCGGTAGAATTTGCATTGAATTCCTTGGAATCCACGTCGTTGCCGGCTAGGGAATTGTCGGTTAAAGCTCTCGCGCACTTCCTTCCATTCTTGGCACAGATCCACGCGGTGATACCAAATGAAGTACATTTCCTCTTCCTCATACTTAGGTCGAGGGGGCCGTCGCCGCTCTGGGGCATTGCTAGAACTGCTTGAGACCGAGTCATACCGGTCCCGAGAGTACGCCCCTGGTGAGGACTCCGTCGACCGTGGTCGATATGGCAAGAACGCCTGGTCTTGCGAGGAGCCAGAACTTTCCCGGTAAGGATGATGGTGATGATGGTGACTATCTGTGTATGGGTGGTAGAAGTAGTGATGACTAGGGCTGGGAGGGTAGATAGGTGAATACTGCGATCCTGGATGGGCGTAATGCAGTTGAGGAGAATTTTCAGACTCTGCTGACGGGTTCAACAGAGCATCGATTGCCATGCGGCTTTTTCGCGATGATGGCATATAACTAGCCGGAGATTGCGAGTGAAGATGCTCCATTGTGCTCTGTTGGCAAGGTGGTCCACGGCCTTCGTGATCCAACTGCTTTTAGTGTGGCGATCGATAGAGCAGTAGGTTGGACGGCAAGGGAAGTCCTTCTTCTAGAGCGAGTGCTCGAGGAGTAAACCCCGGTCAAAGCAAGGTGTAAAGCGATGAACACAGTCGAAGGCACTTTTTTCCACGCTGGTCAGACGCAAATGCACAGCGGCAGTGGTAGATAGAGAGATGAGTAGTAGGCAAGGAAGACACGCCGAATAAAAAGAGCGGTGGTCTAGTTTGGCGATGAGCCAAGAATATTCCTCAGCCACTACAACAACGCTTCCAGAAGGAGTGTTGGACTGAAGGATCATGTAAAGGTCACAATTAGACGATGGAGGGCTGGAAAAGAAAAAAAACCTTGGAATTTCCAACACCGCACGAGACACCGGGTTGGATTCTTAAATGAGAGCAATGGCCGCCAAGGGTTCCGTTAGTTGTGCTTAATCCATGCAGCGTACCGAATCCTTGGGACACGCCGGCCTGTAAGAGACCCCGAAGATGACTGCGCCCCCTGTCCAGCCGGGAGAAAATCACTGCTACAGCGGGTACAGGATGATTCCGAAGTTGCGTAGCGCCTGCAGTAGCAGGGTAGCGATTCAAGATGTTGGAGAAGGAGGAGTAATATGCGTTGGGGGGTGGTGTATGTTGGAGTGGTTTCCCTCCTCGTAATGCTTGTATGCTTTTTCCAAGTCCTTGACCCTAGTACGACGACAGTAACCTTGCAAGCATCTGCCTATAGAAGCAATTAAAGATTTGAAAAGGGGGGTTTAAATATATAGATAATAGAAAGGACAGCCGAAAATCGGGATTTAACCATAGATGATAAAATAAAATAAATAATGAAATAAGGTATGAGAAGAAAAGGAGTGAATAGAATATCAGTCGAAATTCGATGAGGCGTAGATATCCTTTTCTGTTCTATGTGCAAGAGTATCACATCAACATTGGTTGAAAATTCATGAAAACTTCGCCAATGCTCTTTTTCTTGTTGATATTTAGGTCTCTATGATATTTTTGGTTTTTCCACGAAAGAGAGAGAAGGGTATTCAGACACTGAATCGTGTATGAAGCAAGTGGAGATGCTGAAAGGAAGGGTCACGTTGGCAGACGACTTGCAGGATGTATGTGCAGGACAACCACCGACTCTTTGAACCGGGTATTTTATGTATTTCTAATTCTTTGATACAGTTTTGCAGTCTCCTCTCGAAATTTTCTTTGTTCTTTTCTTACCTTTTTTTTAAAAAAAAAAAAAAAAAAAAAAAAAAAAAAAAAAAAAAAAAAATCATTTGTTTTCAAAGATGGATCCACTAGAGGACAGAAGTAGCAGGAGGGGAAAAGGAACACAAAGTCTAGTTCATGCAATCTGCGGCAAGGATATATCAGAACCAGAGGGTCTGAAGGAGCCGCAAGAGTCAAAGAACAATTGGTATTTCGGTTTGGCCCATCAGAGACGACATCCTTCAACGGATGATCATTAAGGTGGAGGGTCGAACAGGCCATCGTCGGACCGGTAAAATTGACCAGTTCAAAGTCAATGGGGACCCGACTTTTGCCTTCGGTCGAATGACTATCAGGTAAAGCTCCAACTGCTTAAACCAATGATACAATGGCCACGATGTGGTCTTTTGGCCACGCGGGGATTTCCCAGAAAGGGGTCCAAACGAGTGTGATGAAAATAATAATAAGAATAATAATAAATAAATAAAATAAAAATAAAAAACCATGGAAATGAAATGAAACTATTAATCATAACAGAACAAAGACAAAGAACGTCTCTGGGGTACCTTAATCGTGTAATGCCGTTCTACTACTACCTTGTAGTACCTAGGTATAGTCCTTTGGAACTGTGAGGGATTAACAAACCCCCTCTGAACAAGAAAAAAAGGCAAGATGAAGAAAGGTTGTCTATCTGAATTACAAATCACCACAGAAGAATGCAAGATATAACTAAGTACTTCTCTATCCGAAAGCAGACCATTGTTGTCAGTATACATGACGGCGTGCAATTGGACCAGAGGTTTATCCAGTAAGGAGACAGTATTTACTCTGGCAAGTAATTACTAGTAGTACTGTGACCCATACTCCGTATCTAATCGGGGGTATATCCAAATAACCTCCGATAAATATGGGTCCAAGAATAGGTTAGAGGAAAAAAAAAATGTGTCAAAGAATTGCCCTTCAAGCATATGGGAGATTTCATTCGTTTCTAGGTGAATGAAAAAATCTATGGAGGTGGATGTTCTCCATCAAGAGAGAGAATCATTTCGAATTCAGGAAAGAGCCTAGAGGGGGTAAGGAGCGAAAAAATAATAAAAGAATTAAATGAAATACGTAGAATGAAGATTAAAAAAAAAGTATTATTAAAAATAAATGAAAGAAAACGTAAAATTGAGAAAGAAAGAAAGAAAACAGAAAAAGAAAATTGCACGTAATACACGCTATGCTGCAGCCCTGCCACTGCATAAGAAGAGTTCGGTTTCCCGGAGATGATAGGCCCTTGCGGGAAGACCGAAACGAAGCATTTGCAGGGTTCACTTCGGCCGCTGGCGGGAACATCAGACGACGCCCCTGCTCAAGGACATCTTCATCTAGAGCTGTGGAGCTGTGGGATACTAGTCCGATGGCCGCTCCGACACCTAAATTAAATCATTATCTCGTCTGGGGGTTCTTGAGGTCTCGACCGTGGTATGGAAGGGAAGATATTCCCCGTCCGTGACTCGATATACAAAGTAATTTCAACGCCCAAATTAATTTTATCCAAAAAACAAAAGTCAATTTAGTAAAGTTTGACCTCAACTGCGAAGAGCACGCAATCTATCATTAACCGGTGGGATGTAAGGGAAGGTCAAACGTCGGACCCGCTGGCAACGATGAAGAGACACTCCTATTCCCACCGACTTCAACCTGATCCAATCACTCTCACCAGAGATAGGGTCACAGCAGGAGCACTACGGCGCACAGGCTAACCTTACCCTGCTACTAGGTACCTACTAAGTAAGTAGGTAGACAGGATGGGAAAATGGAATGATGGAAGGAGGGGGAAGGCAAAGATTGGAAAGAGCAAAAAAAAAATTGTTGAAAAAACCAACAAGCGCTAGCCATAGAAAACCGCGTCTATTGGGCGCGGGAGAGCAAGTCAGCGACAACCAACCTACAGTGGCTTGGTTAGTGAACCGTGGTACTGGGACGCATTCACGAATGGGAGTGAGGCTCTAACGCCGTCTAGCTCTTAATGGTCTCAGAACTTGCACAGGGCTTTTTCTGAAGGATAGACGTGACAGCCAAACGGGAGACACGATGCAGCCTGCGGGTCGTTCTTGGCATATAACTGGGGCATGGGGGTGGCTAGCTGCATGGAATTTTTCTATTGGCTACCTCGGTCTATAATTCTTATGAGAATTTACGGAGTATGACTGTTGCGTTTTTTTCCCATATCTCTCCTCTTTCCTAAAAAAATACATTTTCTTCTTTGGGACACCAATCCACCTCCCAACGCCTATCAACTACATGAGAAGTACGTACACACCTAAAGCGTCTGTATCTACAGGTACAAGAGTCACTCATTCACAAAACGCAGTCCAGATACCAATCTGCAGAATCTGCCAACACATCTCTGCATTGCATTGTAAGTCGATCCCCTTCTTTTTATTGCCTGTGGGGATGAGCATTATGATGTGATCTGGCCTGACGGAGGTTCTCCATGGTATCTAGCCGGCCCTTTTCCCTTTTTTTTAACCTTCTACTGTCTTTCCCCTCGTCCTTTCCTGCATGCATCTTGGGGACCTACCTAAATAGTCTTAATCCATCTAAACCCCGTTTCGCTACTCCGTAATCCGACGAATACTAGGTACAATATTTAATTCTTCAGCAAATACCGCTGAATATGGGCTGATGGCCCCCAATTGCATGCACTCCCGAATCCTTCTTTTATGGTTCTAGGATAGTAGAAACAACTCAAATAAATTAATGGATGTATGGGTGATCTGGAGTCATTTGTCAGTGCAGAAGACGAGCAGGATGAATCGTCAGGCCACTAGCGTTATCGATTGAACCTGTCAAAGTACACAATAAGCAAAGTAAATCCTGATGGAGTTGGCGTTTTGGACTAAATTTGTGTTAGATACGTCATGGGGAACAGTGGTGTACTATGTACGGAGTACTTAGGGCAGATTAGCAAAATGCATCGGGTCTCGGCGACGAAGATCCGGAGGATGAGTGAACATAGAGCAGGACAAACTGTACATAAATACATAGTCGGTAATTTGGGTACCATGCCTCTTCACATGACAGGTATTGAAGGCCTTGCAGGAAGTATAGCGGATAGGTATTAGCTACCTGTGAGTTGGGTTATCTTCTTTCCTCCCTCTAGGTTGATTGTATGATCACTCTAGCATACCTTCTATCTGAGATCAGTATCACATCACTTGTCCAGATCTTAAAATTCAGCATGAGATGAGGTATGTGGGCGGCCACCTCGTATTGGTATTTAATAGCCAAGTGTCCTGCAATACAGCCCAGTCTCTGTACGGAACGAAACAAAGCAGACCCCCACACCAGTCCTTCGCCCAAGTAGATTTTAACGAAGAAACACTAACGAAGTTTTTTAATAAAAAAAAAAGAAAAAAAGAAAAAAAGAAAAAAAAGAAGGACGGTTGACATATAGTACTTCACCGACTACACAACCTCCATAATATGGTATTTGTCACACTGATACCTCCAATCCTATTGAAAGGAAAACCAACAGTCGATTATACTTGCCATCATCGGAAGTTTCTTCACAGTGAATATACTTCAACGTTATGGGGTAGCCAATGGCAGTGTGATTGGGTCATGCCTGGGAAGGAGGGGGAAAAGGAACGTCAGCTGTTCTCCTATTGATCTTTGGGCTGCATCGTCTGTCATCTGCGACACTTCTTTTTTCCCTCATCTTGGCATGATGACGACAAGCGAAACTGTGTTTCTATGTGGGACGGCAAAATTCATAGTGAAGAATGACTATCGGGCTTTGATTCTTGGGATGGCCGAACAAAGGGCGGGCCATACATAGATTTGAAGATAGCAAGTAGTAACCTCGGTCAGAATTTCTCTTTGGAAGGATACACCTAGTACCATTAGTAGACTACAGGGCACCGGTCTGGTTCCCAAGCAAGGATGGTTACCTACTGGGTTACTACGCCGGATACTAGTATGGGGGTGTGGAGGCAAAGGCCATGGTGTCAATAATAGCAC